ACGCGCAGCCTTGGGGGCCGCGCGGGCCCGAACGACCCCTTCACAATCCGCGTGGCCCGTGGTGGGCCCTTCCAGGCACTGAGCGGCTGCCGAATAGGCACTGCATTCCCCAGCCTGCGAGGTCTGGGGATAGGGCCTGGACACGGCCCCAGAAACAGAAGCGATGACATTACCCTGGTGGTCCACAGGGACAAAACCACAGCAGGCCCTTGACAGTTCCTTGATGACGTGCTTAAAGAACGAACCGCCCCAAAAACATCACCCGAAACGCCGGCGGCTCCAGGGGCGGACCCAGGACCTCCAGCAACGGCGTGGGCGATCTTACCAGCCTCAGCGAGCCTCGGCAACCAATCCCCTGGATGAAGGAAAATACCAATGGCAAATAGCATCTTCTCACGGTCGCTGCCCTCGTCAATGACACGAAGGGCATAATTTACAATGGCAGCGTCGCAGGCTTCTCGGCGCTGATCAGAGACACAAGGGCACTGCCACAGCCGGCGCAGTAGACTATCAGGAGCAACGCCACAAAGCAGGCACATGTTGTCTTGAAGCTGGCACCCGCGCTCGATGGCGCGGCCTTTAGTCCAGGTGCCGTCGCAAGCGAGCAGTCTGATTACACCGCGATCGCGCGGCGTTTGAGCCGAACGTCGCAACTCTGAGGCCACGACATCGAGGCACATCCTCCCCGTCCCCAACTTGTCGCCCACCGCCCTTTGGCGCGAGCGGATAACCCCCTCGAACAGAAGATCGGCCACGAGAGCTGGCGACGCGGTGGTGAGCGGGATCTCGCCACCGAAACCGTTGACGAGAGTATGCCACGATGGCATATGACACCCAATCCTGGTCAGAGACAATCGCATGCCCTGCAGAGGGCCTCGGACCTGACGCCAGGTAGGGACAGGGGTATCAATAGACGCAGTTTTCCAAGCTTCGCCCAGCACCCTGAAGGACTGCGCATGGTCAGACAGCCTCGACTGGCATCCCCAGACCTCCTTCGAACAACGAACAATGGGGGCCACCAAGGCCCTCCACGCGGGGTCATTGTATAAAATAAGAAGCGAGATGAGGGAGCGCTGGCCCGAGGATGGCTTAAGGGTGGAACCTCAAGCTCTGCGGGTGCAGGCAAGCTCGCAATCAAATATACCATGCGCGTCAGCATCATAAAACAAACCTGCAAGCGGGCCAGTGGTGAATATTCGGTACGTGTGTCGTCCAAGCATGGACTTGCACCGCTGGAACCTAGCTTGCCGCTGTTAAATACACGGCGCCTTCGAGCATGCTTTTTACCCCTCCTGCCTCCTCTCCTCCCCATTCCCGCCGTCTCATCAACGCCCAATCTCACAGCAGTGTCCTTCGGCGTGCCAGCCAAGGGACCCGACAGCTTCTTGATGCGATCGCCGTGAGAAGAGGAGGAGCAAACAAGAGTGGCCTTACCAAGAGAGATGATGCCATCCATATGCTCAGTGATAGCGCGGTGGAGCTCTCTGGCGGCTTCAACAACGAGGTTAACAATCGAGCGCGGACGAGCCTGAACCGAGTGACCATTATCATCGATGTACACGCCCAGACATTTCTGGACCCTGGGAGACAAAAGGTCGAGAGAGGGAATCACACAAATCTCGGCGCACCTTCCTTGTGTACCCGACCTCGGGCGCCAACGCCCCAACGATGGGTGCGGCGACCGAGCCAGGGCTGCCGTCCCGCGAGCGCCCCGCGTGGGGGGTGCTGTCGGTGACGCGCACAGTCCCCGACCAGGCCAGCCTGGGCGTTGAACCCCAAGGGCGGGCGGGAGAGGCGGACAAGGGGCCGCCAACGACCGAGGCAGCCCCGCACCCAGGAGCGGGTGGGTGGGGCAGAACGGCCGACGGGCCCGCGCCGCGCGAGCGCCGCACGAGCGCGGTGCCCAAATCAATATAATCGACAACCTGCGAAGCGAGCATCGCCAAGGCGCGCCGCGATCCGCCCAGCGCGCGATCCCCGCGGCGCGCCTGCGCGAGCGACCGCGGCAGGCCCGCGCGAAACAACACAGAAGCGCAAAGACGCGACCGCGGGCGGTGCGCGCTGCGGTCGGGCTGCATGCGGCGCGCGTCGCGCGCGCCGCGGCGCCGCAGGGCCCGTCGGCCGACCTGCGATTTGTGCCCGCGCAGCACCCTACGGGCGTGCGCCCCCCACAAATCTCGGCGTACCTTCCTTGTGTACCCGACCTCGGGCGCCAACGCCCCAACGATGGGTGCGGCGACCGAGCCAGGGCTGCCGTCCCGCGAGCGCCCCGCGTGGGGGGTGCTTTCGGTGACGCGCACAGTCCCCGACCAGGCCAGCCTGGGCGTTGAACCCAACGCCGCAAGCGCCCAGGCTCGCCTGGTCGGGGCGCGGCAGGCCTGCCGCGACCCAATGGAACCCCGGGTGCAGGTCGCAGTGCGCGCCGATCGTGAGCCTGGCCGACTTACCCCGCAGGCACCGATGCAGAACCTGGTCTGCTCGCCGCGCCGGCGCTTGGGCACGAGGCTGCGGCCACTGCTTCGGCGGTCGCATCGCCCTCGTGCTGGCGCATATCAAGGTATTCTTTGAAAGCGCGGGAACTCCAATCGGCACCGCGGAGGATCTCACAAAGGCGGCCGTTGCACCTCCGCCTAGTCTCCGCGTGCCCGCGGCGGAACGCTTTGCTCGTAAAAGAAGCCGCGCTTGGTGCGCCGGCGTGCCGCGCCGCCGCCTTGATCGCGCGCTGCACGGGCGCGGCGATTGAGACGACGCCGCTGCCGTCGACTCGCCGCATATGCGGGAACACGGGCGAGCCGACGCAAATGCCCTCGAAAAAACTACGCGCCGCGTGCACAACGCAAGTCGCACGCGAATGTTTGCACCAGCAATTCCGCGCCGCGACCGTCGGGCCGTCGCGGTGCTTACGCCGCGAGTAATGCAACGTTGCAGAATCGCCCGAAAAGAAAATGACGACTCTTGCGACTGGCCTTCGCAGGTCTTCGTCAGAGAAGGCGAAGTCCTTAAATGCCGATGGGTCGCCTCGCTCAATCAAGAGGGCCTCGGAGGGCACGCGCAGAGCGAACCCCCAGGACACCGAGAAGAGCGCGCGCATCGCGCTGTCGGCACTCACAAAGTCGAGCATAGCCGATAAGTGCGAGAGCAGGACGAAACACTTCAGCAGCCGCCTCACGGGGTGCCGCTTCCCGATGGCCTTGCGGGCGCCCCTCGCCGAAGGATGCGAAGAGGCCGACGCGTCCCGGCCCAACAACTGGCATGCCTTCTTAAGCTGTGCCACGTAATTGCCGAAGGTGCGCGGGTTGCGAAATTCGAGCGCGGCAGTGCGCTGCAGCCGTCTTTGTTGAGGCGACGCTGCGCGAAAGCCACCCGCGCCCGGACCGCAGCCCTCCAGGGCCCGAAGGAACGCGGCGCCGAGCCGACGATTGCCAAAGCTCGTGCGCGGGCCAGGCTTTCCTGTATGGCCACTGGCGACGGGGGCCCGCGAGCGCCGCTCGCGATGGACTTGCGAGGGCCGCCCGTGGGCACGGGTGACAATTGCACGCTGCGCACGGCCCTGTAAGCGCGCGCCAGCTCTCGCTTCGCCGCGCTGTCGCACGCGGCACCCGGCGCGAGCGCGCCCGGGCCGCCGCGCGCGAGCGCCGGTTGTTTCAGCACACGGGACGGCGCTGGAGGCGGCCCGCTCGGCGGCCGCGGAACTCCCGCCGCGATCTCACGCAAGCGCGCTTGGGCGTCTGCGGAGAAACGCTCAAAACCTGCTACGCGCCCCCACTTTGCGCCGCGTGCGTCAGCGACGTGTTCGAAACCGTTCGCGACCAGTACATTCGCAATCAGATCAACTTCCACATCATTGCCTGCGCGCGAAAACGAGCGACTGAGCCTGGCGGCGCGCGCGATGGCCGGATCGCCAGGCACGCCCGCCCTGCGCAGTCCAAGCGCCAAGCGCGTCACATCCATGCCACCAGACGACAAAAGATCGGAACCGCGACACGCGGCCGAGCAGGAACGCCCCCCCCTCGCCGCGCGACCGGCGCTGGCTGCAGTGGCGGCGCACGACCGGGGGGGGCGCGGGGAGGAGGAGGAGGGGGGTGGGGGGGGGGCGAAGGGCGGAAGGGAAGGGCGGGGGAAGGGGGGGGCGGGCGCGAGTGCGGAGCGCGCGGACGCGGAGCGGAAGACGCCCGGCGCTCCCAGCGCGGCGCCCAACCTGCACGCGGATGCAACCGATGATGCAGGGAAGCGACAGACGATGAGAGCCCTCCCTCTTTTTGCTCAGAGCCACAGCGCCTCTCAGGCCTCGGCTGCGCGAAACCGCGCATCGAGTGCCGCTGGCACCTGGCGCGCGCCGAGCAGGTGCAAGAGACTGTAGACCTCGCGGGACGGCCCGTCCGAGATGTTGCTTTTGGACGGGACGCGGTGCACCCACATCGACAGGGACATGCGAGCCGCGAGAGACCCAACGCCGTGGACGAGGACTGTGTGATCCCAGTCCCGGGCGCTCGCGCGCGCCACTGACCTCTCGGCCCCCGAATTGTCCGAGAACACTTCCAGCGCCCGATCTGCCAGTCGCTCTTCAAAAGACGACAAGCCTAATGCGACCGCCAAGACCTCGAGGCCCATAATCTGGCCGTCGCGTCTGCGCTTGAAATTCCGCATCAGAGCTGCGTCGGGTGCGCACTCGGCAAACAGGATTTCGCCGTCTATAAAAAACCACGGCGGCGGCGCGAGGGGGCGTGCTCCGCGCGTCGCAGAACATGCGTGCCGCGGGCATGTCCCCTTGCTCCCAGCTGGCCACTTCGCGCAGCCTGAGCTCGAGCACTTGGGCCCACCAGTGCAGCGCGAGCTCGAGAGGCCGCCCGATACGATTGGAGCGCTTGTGCTGGTGCGCGAAGAGTGGGCGGAGCATTGCTCTGCCCAAGCGCTTAAACAAGCGCTGCGCGGCCCATGCGAGAGCGCCCGCGAGTTTCTTCGCAGCGCCCTGGTGCAACGTGCCGCACTCTAAAGCATGCCGGATGGCGGACGACCACTTGAGCCGCTTGTCGCACGCTGGCTCGCAGTGTACGCCCTGCGCACAGAAAGAGAAGAGCAGCCCCAACACGACCAGCTGGGCCCCGTGCGCCAGCTTCGCGTCGGCTACTGCGTCGCTGCCGAGCGCGGCTCTGACGATGCGAGCGAAGCACCGCATGGCGTGGTCGGCCGCGCCGGGGCGATCCGGCGCAAAATAATCGTCTACGTATCGCGAAACTGGCAGCTTGGCGAGCCGCCTTGCGAAGTGCGAGAGCATGGCGGCCACGCGGTCCCAGTCGTGGCAAGATGCTAGCGCGCCGAACGGGCAGACCAGGTGCTGCGAGCACCACAGGCGGCCGCCCTCCTTGAAAACACTGACAGCGGCCCACCTATCGGCGGGGGCCAACGGGATGCGGCGGCAAGCGGAATCTATGTCCGCTTTCCACAGCTCGGGAAGTGCGCCGCGCAACTCGAAGAAGGCGCGCGCGACCGCTACCAGCTGGTCCGCGCCCTCTACGCTTAATTTCTCGGCGGGAGCGCACGCGCCGCTCACCCTGGAGCGCGTGAAGTCATCCACCGGGCGCACTTTCAGCGACCCGTCGGGCTTCGGTTGTGAGACCCCAAACCTGGGCACCAGACGAATTGTTTCGCCCCAAGCAGCGGCAAGCTCGGCCGCGGAGATGTCGGGCCTAGAAGCCCGCGGCGGAGACATCCTACCCAAGTCCGCCTCCTCCCGCGTCTTACGGATCAGCTCGCTGGCGAGGGGATCCTCGCGAATTTATGCAAGTATCAAGTCGTTGCACGCGAGCGCGCTGGCACGCAAACGGGCTACCTCAGCGCTAGTGTCGCCCGCGCGCACTTCCGGGCCGAGCGCGCGACCGTTGCCGCTGTATTCTAAGTTACCCAACAGAGGGGCGCCTCGCGAGGAGAAGTCGATGCACTCTGCGTCGTGCCACTCAGACTCACGCGCCAATTCCTTTAAAAGTGGAATGTTGACGCCTGCGATAAGCGGCCTGAATTCCGGTGGCGCAGCCTTTCTCGCGGCCTCGGCCTCCCCGGACGCCTCGAAGTGCGCCGCCCGGGCTTCGATGCGCCGAACGCGCTCCTCGCGTTCTTTGATGCACTGGCGTAGGCTACGCGCGGCGCTCCACCGCAACGCTTCCATGCACTCGCACTGCGCGTCCGTGCGCTTCGGCTGCGCGTCGCGGCGGCCGAGCGCCTCACGCGTGAAACGCAGCGCCTCGACCTCATCGGGCGCTAATTCGCCGCGCAGAGCTTGCGCGCTGGCAGCGTCGAATGCCGACTGGGAGCAACTCAGATCAGCGCAGGATGCGTCGGGGAGAACTGCACCTGACTGGACCCTCACTGGCTCCGCGGCTGACTGCGCAGGGTGCGCGGGGAGTGCTGCCCCCGCGTCGGGCGGGGCGGCTGCGGCCCCTCACTCTCTCTTCTGGCGCTTGCTTGGCGTCACCGGCGCCTGCGCCCCGCTGGCGGCACTCCCGGACGAGTAATGCCCCTGCCAGCGGTGAGAGTCGTTCGCGGGCTTGCCCTTGTGCTCTTTGCCGTAGCCCTTGGCCTTGCCGCCCTTGGCGCTGTGGTCGCTGCCGCCTTTGTGGTCCCTGCCGGCGCCCCTTGCCTTGCCCTTGTGGTCGCTGCCGCCCTTGGCGCTGTGGTCGCTGCCGCCTTTGTGGTCCCTGCCGGCGCCCCTTGCCTTGCCCTTGTGGTCGCTGCCGCCTTTGTGGTCGCTGCCGCCTTTGTGGTCCCTTGCCCCTGGCGCCCCTGCCAGCGCCCCCTTTGTGGTCGCTGCCGCCTTTGTGGTCCCTGCCGGCGCCCCCCTGCCGGAGCTCGGTCGTGCGCCACTTGGAACCCGCGGGCGTCGCGCTCGCGCTCCGCCCGGAGCATGGCGGCCGCGTTCTGCGACTGCGCGGCCGCGGCGACGTCGAAGGCGCCCAGGCCCGCTGAAAAGTCTGCCCATTCGCGCCGGGCGATCTCGTCGTAGAGGACGGCGATCGCGGTCGTGCGCCCACTGGCCCGCGCCGACAGGGCGAGCTGCATCGCGACCTCCTAGTGGGCCATGGACGCCGTGAGCGGCATCTGACCGGCGAGCGCCGCGACGATTGCCCATCTGTCAAACGCGACGCACCGCTGCAGGATGCTCGGCAGGTCCCCCTGCTTCTTGTCGGGGCCCCTCGCCTGGCAGATGCCGCGGGCGATCTCCTGCGCGAAGGACCGCTCGACGCCGCACTCCCCCTCGAGATCGTCGGGCTGCCTCTTGTCCGCCGCGTAGTACGGGGGGAATTTCTTGATCGGCATGTAGAGGAAGGGCTTCGTGATGCCCTTGCTCTCCGCGGCCTTGACCTGGCCCTGCACCCAGTCGGTCAGTTGCGGAGGCGGCCAGCACGACGCTGGCAAGTCCGCCAAGGTCATGCCGCCCAGGCCTGCGGCGATGTCCACGTGGACCGCTGGCTTGCGGCCGCCCTGGAGCGCCTGCAGGGGGGCGCTGACCGGCTCCTGTGAACCGCCTGGCGCCGCGGCCTCGGCAGCTGCCTGCTGCTCGGCGGACTGGGTTGCCTTTGCGACGGCGCGCTCGAGGAAAGCGACCTTGCCCTCGACCAGCCCGTTGAGCTGGAAGGTCGCGGCCCTGACGTCGAGTTTGACCAGGTCCTCCGGACTCTCGATGCCGTTGGTCGCCAGCACCTCGACCACTGGCTTCAGCCACGTGCGGTCGCGCTTCGTGCGCCTGTCCACCCCAGACTCGAGAAGAACGAGGAGCGGCGCGGACATGGCAGGCGGTAGTGGAGCCAACCACGTGGGCGCACGACGGGAAGGTAAGCAATTCACTCGCTCGAGCGAAACAGCTACGGACCGAAATCGTCCAGCCGGGCGAGCACGGGACAATGCACGAACACGTGACACCACACTTGCCCGACTTTGGGGCGGCGAACATGTGTCGCCCGCGCTAGGGCGGGCGCACTTGCGACGGCAAAGCCGGCGCTGCGGACCGTTGTGCGGGTGCGGTGGTGGCACCGTTGGGTCTCCCTCGTTCGGGTAGTCCAGCAACAGGACGCCCTCGGGCGGGTCGCCTGAACATAAGCGCTATGGTCGCGCTGTCGGGTCGCCCTCGACCGGGTCGCCCGAGTGCAGGTGCGTCTGTAGCACCGTTTGGACTCCCTAGGTCGGGTATCCCAACAACAGGACGCCCTCGGGCGGGTCGCCTGTGCTCAAGCGCTATGGTCGCGCTGTCGGGTCGCCCTCGATCGGGTCGCCCGAGTTCGGGTGCGTCTGTAGCACCATTGGGACTCCCTCGGTCGGGTAGCCCAACCACAGGACGCCCTTGGGCGGGTCGCCTGTAACCGAGCGCAATGGTCGCGCTTCTGGGTCGCCCTCGATCGGGTCGCCCGAGTGCAGGTGCGTCAGTAGCACCGTTGGGACTCCCTAGGTCGGGTAGCCCAACGACAGGACGCCCTCGAGCGGGTCGCCTGTTCACAAGCGCTATGATCGCGCTGTCGGATCGCCCTCGGTCGGGTCGCCCGAGTGCGGGTGCGTCAGTAGCACCGTGGACTCCCGCGAACGGGAAGCAAAGCAAAAACACACACAGGCGCGCGACCACCGACGCCGGGCCACGCAGGAGACGGCACGAAGCCAGGAACAAGCGACGCGACACGACGACGACGACGCGGCGGCAGCGGCGGCGCCAGCGGCGGCGACGCAGCAGCGACGGCGGGCCGCGGCGACGGCGGACGGCGACGGCGCAGCGACGGCGGCGGCGGCGGCGGCGACGCGGCGGCGGCGGCGGCCACGCCCGACGACCGCAGGGGCGAAACACGGACGAAGACCACGACGACGACGACACCGCGGCGGCGGCAGCGACCCCAGGGGGGGAAGCGCGGCGGCGACGGCGAGAACCCACCAGACAGACGGACGACGGACGACCGACAGACCGACGAACGGACGAGGGACGACCGACGGGCCAACGACCGACGGGCCGAGCGAAGCCACGCCCGACGACCGCCAAGGCGAAACACGGACGAAGACCACGACGACGACGACACCGCGGCGGCGGCAGCGACCCCAGAACGGCCGACGGGCCCGCGCCGCGCGAGCGCCGCACGAGCGCGGCGCCCAAATCAATAGAATCGACAACCTGCGAAGCGAGCATCGCCAAGGCGCGCCGCGATCCGCCCGGCGCGCGATCCCCGCGGCGCGCCTGCGCGAGCGACCGCGGCAGGCCCGCGCGAAACAACACAGAAGCGCAAAGACGCGACTGCGGGCGGTGCGCGCTGCGGTCGGGCTGCATGCGGCGCGCGTCGCACGCGCCGCGGCGCCGCAGGGCCCGTCGGCCGACCTGCGATTTGTGCCCGCGCAGCACCCTGCGGGCGCGCGCCCCCCATAAGCTCGCGCGAAACTGGCAGCGGCAGAGCAGCCTGCAATCACGCCCAGAAAGGGCATGCAACGGTCCTTGGACCATAGAACCTAACATGATAAAACGCGGTCCTGCATACATGTTGAGGCAGACGAAGGCAACCTGCGGCGGGAAGCCCAAGTACTTGCAGCGTTCCTTGGGCTTCACGAAGCAGATGGTTTCAAAGAATTTGAAGAGGTCCCATAACATGCTGCAAGACACCTGCGAATTGCAAACGGCGGCGTCGGAGCGGAGGGCCTGCCGCCAAACCACACCACCTGCTCCAGCGCAGGCCGAAGCGGCGAGGTGCGGCCCATGAACGCTGGTCTCCCAGGCCTGGAGGACGGGCCGCCGCAGCCCCCCCCAAAGCCTGTAAAAGCCAGCAACAATGCCAATCGGCCTCCAGCCCCCAGTCGGTTTCTCTAAAAGCGCCAAACTGAAAACCCGAACTTGCTTGGGAATCAAACCGGTGCACTCCATGACGGACCAAAGGGTCATAAGAACATGCAGAGCCGAGTTACTGAGGGCCTGCAAGTGACGCATGCGAAAACCGTCGACACCTACAGCAGACGCAAGCTTGCACGACCTCGAGGCCTTGCGAATGCTGTCAGGCTCCATCCATAGGAGGGGGTCCAAATACTGCTCAAATCCCTGCTTGGGGTGGAGGGGGGTGCCCTGGGCCCTCCAAAGACCAGAGAAACGAGCACACTCGGTCTGCAACAAATTCTTGGGGTCGGCCAAAACCATGCCTATAGAAGAGACAGTGCGAGTGGGGGTCCACGCGGTGGGGGGGCGGGTCCAATTGTGAGCGCGTTTGCCCCCTCCTTCGAGGCCGTCACGCAGCCGCTCTTTCCAATTCGCAGCGGCCTCAGCCCTGGCGGTGGCTGAGTAAGCGCCGAGAGCTTCACTCAAGGCTTCAAGAATGACAGCGCCTGCAGCCTGCCACGGGTGATCACCAGTGAAGGCTGCATCTTCAACAATCGGCTGAACGTGATCCTCGAGACGCTGGGCCAGGTCCTGAAACAAAACTAAGTGATCATTGAAGTCCTTAGGGGGGGGGGGGGGGGGGGGGGGGGACAGTTTGGAGACATCCCGAGCCTGGCGCCAGCGGTCCGTAGTAGTGTAAACGATGAGCATCCTCAGGCTGCCCTCGAGCCAGCGGAGCGCGTAGAGCGCTGGCTGCCTGGGCTTCCGACTGCGGTCCTGGGCGAGCACCGACTTCCACATGGGCTTCGGAACCTTGCCGCGGGTTCCTCGGATCGGAAGCGTGGTCTGGTACGCCGCCTCAAATTCCTCTTCAGACTGGTTATTGGCCCAAAACTTATATAACAAATTGATATGACGCTGGATGGGGGATCTTGGGTCCCCTGAGCGAGCCAGAGCAAGTGCGCGCTCGGCACAGTCAAGAGCATCAAGACAGCTGGAGGGTTTCGGGAAGGGTCCGATGGGAAGGGGGGCGGGGATGGGCGTGGGTCGCACGAAAGTCGAACCCTGAAGGTCAGCAAGAGATTGATGGAATCGAACACGGACGGGTCGACGCGGGCGAGCGTCCGCAGTCAACGCGACCGACGTACCAGCAACCCCTTTGCCGGGCCCAGGGCTACGCACGAAATAGTCAAGCAGTGACCCACCTCCCACAACCGTACTGGTGCAAGACATAGAGTCGGGGGGGTAAATAATGTTAGCAGAGAGCGCAGCCGCGTAATCACTGTCGGCGAGCGCAGACGGGGGCATGTTAAAGTCACCCCCACGAGGTAGGGGGAGGAGCAGGAGTTACATAAAGAACCTACATTGGCCAAAAACACCAAGGTTGAGTTCAGAGAGTCCTCCGGAGTCCTTGAGGCAGAGCGATCAACACAATATGGTAATGCCTCCAAGTACTTGTGCCCAACAGACAGTAGCATGACCTGGAATGAAATCTAGCCCCTTAGTGACGTCGTAGCAGCCTAGCCAATCTCGAACCAAAATCGCCGTACCACCAGACGTGCCCCCCTCGGGCGTGACCAGGGCAAGAGTAATTTGAGCGAGCCACCCGTGGCGACGACACCAGGACGAAGCTTCTTCAATCGCAGCCTTTTTTCCCCAAACAGCTTGCTGAACGGGGTGCTGTTGTGATAGAAGCTACCTCTGGCCGAGGGAAATCGGCGCAGAGACATCCTCACAAAAATTTGATGGTCCGGGCCATTTCGTTTGAGACATCCTCAGAACTCTCGTTTCTGAGTTGGCCGGGATTAGCCGTTTCGCCTGAGACATCCTCGAACAATTGCGCTCCGGGACGCCGCGCGAGAGGTGGTCCGGGCCGTTTCGCTTGAGACATCCTCGAAACTCTGAGCCCCGAGGTGCCGTGCGAGAGGTGGTCCGGGCCGTTTAGCCTGAGACATCCTCGAAACTCTGAGCTCTGAGATGCCTTGCGCGAGGTGGTCCGGCCCGTTTCGCTTGAGACATCCTCGAAACTCTGACCTCGGAGATGCCGCGCGAGAGATGGTCCGGCCCGTTTCGCCTGAGACATCCTCGGGCTTCTGAGCTCTGAGATGCCCTGCGCGAGGTGGTCCAGCCCGTCTCGCCTGAGACGTCCTCGCAACTCTGAGCTCTGAGATGCCGTGCGCAAGGTGGTCCGGCCCGTATCGCACAAGACATTCTTGCAACTCTGAGCTCCCAGATGCCGCGCAAGAGGTGGTCCAGCCTGGGGGCCCAGAAGACCACATGTTTCATATCCTCCCTGGGACCCTGGGAGCCCGCTTGAGACATCCTCGAATTTCTGAGCTCGGAGATGCCCTGCGCGAGGTGGTCCAGCCCGTCTCGCCTGAGACATCCTCGCAACTCTGAGCTCTGAGATGCCGTGCGCAAGGTGGTCCGGCCTGTTTCGCACAAGACATTCTCGCAACTCTGAGCTCCCAGATGCCGCGGAAGAGGTGGTCCAGCCTGGGGGCCCAGAAGACCGCATGTTACATCTCCTCCCTGGGACCTTGGGAGCCCAAGAAGACCCCAGAGAGCTCCAGGAGGCCGCAGGACGCCCAGGACAGGCCCCAGGGATCTCCATGAGATTCCCACGAGGCTCCCAGGAGGCCCCAGGAGGCCCCCTATCGGGATGTTAATACACATCCGGTGACGATTCGTTGATTTTTCCTGCTCTTGTGCCCCCCCCCCTCCATTTTGGTGGGCCCAAACGGCCACAGGTTAGATATCTCCCGTGGGAGCCCCAAGAGGCTTCCGGAAACCCCAGGTGGAGTTCAGGAGGCCACAGGAGGCCCAGGAGGAAGTACCAGGAGGTCTCCGGGAGGCCCCAGGAGGCACCAGGAGGCCCCCGCAACTCGGAGCTCTGAGACGCCGGGCTCGAG